TTGTTGCATCTGTCCCTGATGGTAACATTCTTGGTAGCTATTATCTCAGCCAGGAGAGTAGGAGAATTTTGAGCATTGTTGCAGACCACCCACCTCCCTTGTATACGATCTTCTTTAAGGACAAGGTTTATTTATGACTCCATTCTAAATTTCTGACTAAGGTGGTTTTGGATTTACACCTTAACTAGTCTTTCTATTTAACAATCTTTTTTCCAAAGCCTCACTCTCATAGGAATGAGGAGAGATTCCATACTTTGGACGTTTGCAAGGGATTAGCCTTGTTCTTGGGCAAGACTAAACAATTTAGAATGTCCCCTCAGCTATTTGTTTCCTTCTCTGACAGGATGAAGGACAACCTGTCTCTTTGCAGAGAATATCATCCTGGATCTCATCCTGCATATCTCTGTGCTATGGCATCACTACGTTTTCTTGACCATAGAGGGTTTCAGCACATTCTAGAAGATCACAAGCAGCATCAGCTGCATTCTTGGGTCATGTGCCCATCAATGACATTTGCAGAGCGGCAGCTTGCTCATAAGTACATATATTCATTAGGCATTATGCTATCCCTTAAGCTTTGAAAGCTGATGCCAAATTTGGAAGAGTGGTGTTACAATCTTTGCTCAGTGGACTACAAAGCTCTCCTTTCCAAACTCCTTGTGAGTCACTTAAAGGAGACTTGACAGAAGAAAAAAGAACCATTACTTACCTGCTCTCCATCAGTTGTTCTTTGAGAAGTGTTACACATGTCCATTCCACAACCCATCCTTCTTCCTCTCTACATTGGAGTCTATACTTCCTGGATTCTGGTGTGAAGGAAATGAAAGGGGACCAGGGCATCTCTGACCTTATACCTTCAGCTGAGAGCACTAGCATCCATAGAGTGCATGCATCGCCCTAATGGGCACTGCTGTGGGGAAAAATTCTCTGGGTTCAGTGCACTGGGTGTGCACAGGCCCAAAGTGTAATGGACATGTGCAACACACCTTGAAGAAGAGCAGTTACAGAACAGGTAAGTAACCATTCTTTTCTAAAAGTCAGGTCATTCTAAAGGTGTGTCAAGATGAGCATTCAAAAATGGAGGCAACCGAAATCACTAGTCACTTTTGAACATTTGTGCTCCTATTCTTCAGATACTTGCCTGAAGCAATGCCACAAAGACAATCTTCTACCAAAAAGAGAACATATAAATATGTACTAAGTACAAATTACATTCTTGTCTATTGAAATGGCAACATTTGATTTTTTTCATGTCATACTAATATAATGGCTGTCTTGTATGCAATGGAATAACTTGAAATAGAAATAATAAATGACAGTGGCATCAGGTTATAGCAAATAAATCATAATTACAGCCCTGTGTTTTGTTTGTTTTACCTTTTTTTTATTTTTTTGCAAATGTGAAATAACATGAAATAAAATGAAAACCAATGTATAAAACAAATTAAACTCAAACTGCAGCGGCACACAGGTTGCAGTGCCACTCTACGATAATGATAACTGAAAGATCTTAGCAAGAAAGAGAGAGAAAAAAAGTATGTTTACTTTTTGCATTTGACACCGTGTGTGTATAGTCACTTTCACTGGTCTGTATTCAGTCAGGCAGACCTTTTCACTTGTGGAACTCATTGGAGAGTCGGTGTCTATGTTGGTCAATTTATCCTTTGATGAAAAGATCACTCTAAGCACAGGGGCAGGAAAGAAAAGCCAGAACATACTGTTTAGAGGATGCTTTATTTTTAATGTCTCAATTTAAAATTGCATCAGATTTTGTTTGGGTAAGCATGAATGCATCCAATTGTAGGATTGGAGTTGCGACTTGTAACTAAGAAATGGCCAGTAATGTGCAATGAAATTAGAATTTACCGTATAATAAATCTAAATAGTATATTCTTTAACTAGAAAAAAGTGGTGCTGCATGTTTTTTTTTCTCCAAACTGAGAATAGATTGATATACTTTGTAATGGTGCATAAGCTTCTAACAAATTCTTCAAATTATGTCATTATGATGAGAGACATTCGTCATTAAATCTGCTACTTAACATATGAAAGTTCCAGTGTTTATGAAGAGAAACCTGCACATAACTGGAAAATGCAACATTTTTGTAATTTCTCACAAATGTTCTACTTTTTTTGACCTCCCATTTTTGATTATTTTATGCTTGGCACAGAAGAATGGTTCTGTGTTGTACAAATCAAAGACAGGTAAATGAAATGTGTTTTTTCCAATGTTTAATTTAAAAATATTAGGTAGACCAAGCCAATATTTTCCTTTTCTTTTCTTTTTTCCTTATATTTAATATTTGTAAAAGTTTCTTCTGAATTTAGCGCTCATGAAAGCTGCCAGATTGAAAGCCGCAGAAACCATAGTCCACTGTTTATCTACATATTTCATTGTACGCATACTTCGTCTGCCCACCAATTTGGCGGAGAGGGTAATGCAAGCTTCACACAATTCATTCCCTGACCTGAGACTGCCATCTAGCTATTTAATAACAGTTATGATGATGGTCATTATGTGAACATCTGTCCAGTGGAAAATGGACCAAGACCACTAGCTCATTTCAAATTAGACTGCAGCTGATACTAATTATTTTGGATAACTCAGGTTTGGTACATTGAAATACTTTAGGGCTAGCTTTCAGAAGTGACAAGCACTCACAGTTCCTATTGACATCACTTGGAGTTGTGGATGTTTGGCACTCCTGAAAATCAGGCCCAAGGTGTTTTAGGTTGGGCTACCAAAAACCGAGTAATCCAAATTGGTGGCTATTTTTGAAAATATTAACTCTGACCATGACTAAATGGGCCAGATGACTTCTTGTGTCCTAATAATGAAAGGCATTATGGCGCCTACTCAGCATGTTCCTATCCCTGGGTCTGCATTACATTGCCAGTTCCTCGAGGCATGAATATCCTCTGTACTAGATTAATATTAAGTGCTTGTCTATAAACAAGTTAATTTGTTGCAGGCTGGGATATAAATCTACAGTGCTACAGTGTGATGCGCACTAACTGTGTGAATCCTGCTGCCGTGCACTGAACAAAAATTCCGTAGTGCAGAACTTTTAGTGCACTGCATCAGGGACAATTAGTGAATGGCACATTAGGGTGCTGTAGATTTACACTCTAGCTTGCCACACACTAACTCTTCAGATAGACGTGCCGTAAGTCATAGATATTAGATGTCTACATGTGTTTGGAAATGAAAACAGAAATCTATGACTTTGAATGTATTAGTTGTAAACTTCAAACATGAGGCAGGATTTAAACATATTTAAAATTATTTAAATAAATATAAGTTAGACAGTTATCAGCCTTGTGTTTTGTCACTGTCAAATAAAGCTAATACCTAACCCTAGTATTTTTCCCATAAAAAGGGTAATGCCTTCAAAAGGAAGGTCCTGAATTTAATTTCCTTATATGCTTGCTACCTGGACATAGATATAAAGATTTGCATCCAAGGCATTCAGAAACTTACCTAGCACTTTTTTGCACAGGGAAAAAGATTCAAGATCTAAAAATCTATGTTCTCATTAAAAAGTATATATTCATAACCTCACATGAACAAATAAATAGATCTATAATGGTAACAGCTAAAAAAGTTTTGGGCTTTTTTTATGGGCAGGTACCACTGATAATATCCTATTCCCCATTATAAGTGTAGGAAATAGACGTTCAAGCTAGTAATATCCTACCCATATGTATAAAGGTACAAGAAAACTTTTTAATTGTGACTATTGTAGTTGAATCTTTACACCTATGTAATTAGGAACAATTTATCAAGGTTTGTGGTGGATTCTCCATCACTGAACTTTTTTTTTTAATCAAGACTGGACGATTTTCTAAAAGATATATTGACGTTCTATGGCCTGTGTTATACAGCAGGTCAAACACTTTGATCACTATGGTCCCTTCCGGTCTTGGAATCTATGAATTACCATAACGATGCATGAGTGACTGTACCCTTTTCTGACAGTTCTTGACATGTAAAGGAGAAATAGAAAGATCATGCATAGTAGTGAAGTGTACTTACTGTACATATTACTCAATTTTCCTTAAGTACCATGTTTTCTTCCACAGCAGAAAATATACCTATGGTATCTACTGTATATCCTCATGAATTTCCATCATTCCTGTATAATCTAAATGATGATCTCAATTTCCAGCTTGATCGATTTTAAGCATCAACACTAAACAGAGCTAAAACCCCGCAGCGGATCAACACCAAAAACTTTCCATTGATTTCACCTGGAGTTATGCAGGCGAAAGAATGATAACTGCAGGTCCTGAAAATTCCAGCTGAATTGCACATGACCGTTCTGGTCCTGGTTCAAACTTCATGCTTCCTAAATGTTTCTTATGCTCTTAAAATTAAAAGATACTCCACTCTTAGGCTCTCATGCCACAAACACTTATCTATGTGCTTGGCTTTACTCACATACACAGCTCTATTGACGTCACTGAAATTCCACGGCTGAGTAAAGTTAAGTATGTGCATAAGTGCAGGATCAGGACCATAATCCATAAATAAAATATATCTTTTCAAAGAACGTCTTCATTTCTAAAAGCTACTTTTCCTCTTATAAAAATGAAGGGAGGGAGTGCAGGGGAAACAGTTACAGAGGAGTTTTTTTAAATGTTACAAGGCAAAGCATTGTCTTTTGAAAGAGTTTGTTTTTGTTTTAATTCAATTATTTAAAATGATAGGACACAATTTTTAATTAAATCTTGTATATATCAATAACTGATCAGAATTGGATTTTTTTAAAATTTCAATGCTGTCAAATTATCAATATTTAAAATATTTATAGGAAATTAATACATTTTATATTTGACTTGAAAGTTGTTTAGCATTCGTTGATCAGCTTCATTATACAGAGTAGGTTTATATCTGAATGGTAGTGCTGTATTACTAAGTTTTTCTAAAATTTAGGGGTTTTGTATAATTTACCCAAGATTTGTTTCTTTTCTAAGTTATACTTTATTTTTTTTTACAGTTCAACGGAAGAGCAGTTTCATTGGCAAACGCAAGGTAAAGTATATCTTGGATGGATTCTGTATCTAGATATATTTCCCCAGTAATGTCTATGTTATCCAAAAGAGAACAAAGAATTAGAAGAATCATGGATTTTATGTGCTAGCCTTCATTAAAATTGTTTATTAATTATCCCCATAGAGAAGTGGCAGGGCCGCCCAGAGGATTCAGGGGGCCTGAGGCAAAGCGGGGGAGCTTGTACTCACTGGGCAGCGCTCCGAGTCTGCAGCGGCAGCATTTCGGCAGCGGGGAGCCCTTCAGTCACTCCGCATCTTTGGCAGCACTGAAGGACCCGCTGCCGAAATGCCGCCGAAGACCCGGACCGCCGCCGGGTGAGGAAAGGGATTCTCAACCAGGGCTTGCAGGGCCCCTGTGGGGCCCAGGGCCTGGGGCAAATTGCCCCACTTGCCCCCCCCTCTGAGCGGCCCTGAGAAGTGGCAGTAATTGGTGGTGACACAAATGGTTGTAGAACAGGAGAGTGTCGTGTACAAGGTTTCTGATTGTGATCAGTGTGAAAAAATCTCAGTGTGAAAAATACCTGAATTTTTCAATATGCTTATCGATAGCAAACACCATACTTTTAAAGGATGGTGTTTGAAAGTATGGATATAGGTGCATTTTTCTGGGCCTGCCCATTCCAGCATCCTTTGAAAATTAGACCTTAAATGTTACCATTCCCTTGACTAGCTGTGAATTTTTAATTGGTTCTATGTCATTGTTTTTATCTTTTGTATTTTCTTTATATTCTTTAACATTTTTTATAATTTTTATTACAGACGGTCAGAAGGATATAGAGGATGAGCTCACAACTGGTCTTGAGCTGGTGGACTCCTGTATTAGATCACTGCAGGAGTCAGGAATACTTGATCCACAGGACTATTCAACTAGTGAAAGTAAGTTTCCAGGAACTTGCCTTTCTTTGTCTGGAGCCCCAAAATCCAGAACTATTATTTGGAGTACTTTATGCTTTTAAGATGAAAGTACATTGTGTCATAATGGTTTTCGCATTTCATCTGTCAACATTGGCAGCAGGCAATATAAATTGAATTATCTGTAAATATGCTTATTACCCACTTCCTTATGTGGATTGCAATCTGTAAAGAGCTCCGAAGCACTTCAGAAGCTATGGACAAAAAGCAGATAGTTCGATAACTGTTAATTTAAGGAATATATCCCTTCATACTGTATAGCTGTGACATCCAAGAAGGTCATATTTAAAGATTTCAGTGTCAGTACTAGAAGAGTTTTAACCAATAGGATTACAGTATGCAAAGGCACCCAAATTGCACTCTGATTGGGCAAATCGTCATAATGTCTGATGTCACAGTTTCACCACACAGCTATGAACTACTCAAGGCTAAAATTTGCAAAAGATTACATGACTCCAAGCAACCCAAGAAATGGCTCTCAATATGAGTGATGAGCAGATAATGGGCATCCTGACAGATTTCAAAGGTGATGGCTGGACTTGTCAAAAGCGCCAGAGCACCTTGAGGCATCTATCAAAGGAGGTGGGCTGGGTGCTGAATGGTCAAACTATATTTTCAGACCTGTGCAGTGGGGTAGCTGGGTCCTTTGCTATAACTAGCTGCTTGCAAATTAGTTATGGTTCAGGCCTGCCCTCAACCACTTTGGAAACATTGGGGGCTGTCTCCCCAGTTGGGGAGAGAGACAGATTGGCTGAGGAGCCAGAAGTGGGGAACAGGGACTAATTGGAGAGTGGGACTGGCAGTTTGAGGGGGAACACTGAGACTGGCACTGTGAGATTAGATCTTGCTGGGCAATGAGATTTTGACTGGGATGAGAAGCCTGACTGGGACTGGCTAGGTTAGGAGAACTGGACTGGGATGAGGAACACAGAGGTAGGGAAGGTAGCCTTAATTTATTCCCCTTGTGCATATACATTATTATACAGTCTTTAGTTACATAACATACTATTTTTCCACAGGCCCCAGTGCACAGGCTGGACTTGCTCTGGGGATGAATTAGGGTTGGGGAATGCAGGAGGGTGTAGTCGGTAGGACCCCAAGTTCAGTTACTGCAGAAGTTGGAAGGTGTGTAGTGAATGAGGCAAGGGACAGAAGGATGAGAAATGAAGGTCTCATGTTTAAGACAAATGAATGCTGCTTGGAAAATTGGATTCTATCCCTGCCTCTGTGTCAGAGTTTCTGTGCGATGCTGAGCAAAATCACTTAAACCAGACTTTTCACATTTGGTCAGTAATTGTGTGTTCCTCATTTTCTGGATGTCTGACTTGAAAGCTTGGAGTCTGATTTGCAGGTGCTCTACACTCACAGCTGTGACTGAAGTCAATGGCAACTGTGCATATTAAGTGCTATATAATGGTAGCTAATCTGAAAAATCAGATCCTAGGTATCTCAAATTGGGCACTCAAAATTAATGGATACTTTTGACCTTAATCTCTCTATGCCTCAGTTCCCCATTTGTAAAATTAGGATAATAACACTCCTTTATCTCACAGGGCTGTTGTGAAAATAAATGAATTAATGTTTGTGTAGCACTCAGATATTGTAGTGATGAGCGCCATAGTAAAGCCCATGAAGAAATTAATAATTCTGTATTCAGAGCTGGGTTAGTGTGCAGCAAATAAGGCCTAGGTCATTGTATTGAACAATGAAGATAAAACAAAATATTAAGTATTAAACCATCCATCCTGTGCACTGAATGAGGCATGGGTGTTGTAGAAAAATAGTTGGTGATCATGTAATTAAAAACTGTATCATAATGCATACACACATGGAGGCCAATTAAGGTTGCCTGTGCAACCTTAATTCTGGCATTTCCTAACTTTTTAGTACTTGACTTTGCAACCTTTATAATGAAAAATATGTATGTCTAGAATACACTAAAGACCCTGATTGAGGATATGTCTGAGGTGCCTTGATGGTCCCATTTTTTTTTGGTCAGGTCAGATTTTTGAATTTGCTATATCAGAGGCTGCCCTGGGATGTACCTACTACTGACTTCACTATGTGGTCCTCTGACCTGAGTGTGTCCAGTAGAACAATCCAGTCTATCAGTGGCTGTTCCTCGGGGAGGGATTAGTATGTCTGTGTTTTGAACAGCCTTTATAATACAGCTTTACACATTTCCTGCTTCCCTCTGAAGCTGTTGTGAGAAACAGCTACATAGCAGGCAGCTATTGTAATAGACTCCCTAAATCCCAAAGATCACTTCACATGTGGTACCTGTGTACTAACAAGTGTAAGCCATGGAAAAAATGGCTAAGGGGATATGGATATCACCACATGAAAAGGGAATCATGTGGGGTAGTAGCTGTATTAGTCATTGATTGTGGTGTTCTGGTATTTACCTTTTGCTGATGGTGAGTCTGGATAACTATTTGACTAAGGTGTTGGAGTGCAGTGATCATTTATGTTTTTTAAAAGTTCCCAGGCTGTTCTAAGGAGGGAATGCATTGGATATATGTAAGGTATAAAGACTGGCAGATTCAAAACAGTGATGTTACTCTTGGGAGTTCCTCTGCTATGGTGTGCCTGGAACAAGAGTGTACAGATCTGAGAGCCGCTCCTGTCCCAACACCCATCCCCCCCATGCCCACCCACCTCAGTAAACCAATAGTTAGCTGAGTCCAGCAAAAATGTCTTCTCTGTTTCAGTGCTAGTCCTTGGATCAGTTTGTCATTATATAGTAAAGTAGTTGTTGAAAATATAATAATTGGCAGTCATCCTGCACAGGGGCAATTACTGGTCTCTTTCATAGTCCAGCTTGACACTTCGTTGGTAGACACTGTCTCGGGCTCTCACACTGGTGTCCTGTGCATTGACTTTGTTGGCTCTATTCCACACTCCTCTAAAAGTTGTGGATGTATCTTGGTATTTGTGGATTCTCTAACTTAACTGAAATCTTTCTTACACAAGTCTGCACAGTTGATGTAGCTGCTGACAGACTGGTTTGCAAATTGGTAATGCAGAATGGGAAAGGTCAGTGCCAGATTTCTGAGTAAAGAAGTCAGTTTACCAAATTGATCTCTCTGGGTACTAAAATGACCCCCATCTCAGTAGTGTCTGAATGCCTCCCGAGTATTTATGGATTTAATTCCACAACATCCCTGTGAGGTAGGCACGTAATTATACACTTATTTTTTACAGCTGGAGAACTCAGACACAGAGAGATTAATGGAGTTGCCTAGAGTTACTCGGAAAGGCTGTGGAGTAGCAGAGACCTGAACCCATATCTCCTGAGCTCAAGTCCAGTTCCTTGGCCACGAGATCACCCTTCCTATCTTTCACATTGCTACAAATCCATCACCACCATCTCACATCAACCCAGATCAGATACGACTTGCCAACCCTACAGGATTGATCTGTGGACTAAGGTGCATCAGATCCTCCTATGGAGCTGAGGAAGGGCATAAGAACATAAGAATTGCCATACTGAGTCAGACAATGGTCAATCTAGCTCCATATTCTGTCTTCCAGCAGTGGTCAATCCCAGGTGCTTCAGAGGAAATGAGCACAATAGGCAATCACCAAGGGATCCATCCCCTGTCATCCACTCCCAGCTTCTGATAAATACAGGCTAGGGACATTTGGAGCATAGGGTTACATCCATGACCATATTGGCTAATAGTCTTTGATGGATCTATTCTCCATGAACTTATCTAATTCCTTTTTGAACCCAGTTATAGTTTTGGCTTTCACAGCATACCCTGGCAATAAGTTCTATAGGTGGACTGTGCATTGTGTGACCACTAGTTCTTGTGTTATGTGAAGAAGCAAATAACATTTCCATATTCACTTTCTCCTCACCATTCAAGATTGTATAGGCCTCTACCATATCCCCTCTTAGTTGTCTCTTTTCCAAACTGTAAAGTCCCAGTTTTCTTAATGTCTCCTCATATGGAAGCTATTCCACACTCCTAATCATCTTTGTAGCCCTTCTCTTTACCTTTTACAATTATAATATATCTTTTTTTTAGATGGAGTGACCAGATCTGCATGCAGTATTCAAGATGTGGATTTACCATGGATTTATATAGGAGCATTATGATATTTTCTGTCTTATTATCTATCCCTTTCTTAATGGTGCCTAATATTTTGCTAGCTTTTTTGATTGCTGCTACACATTGAGCAGATGTTTTCAGAGAGTTATCTGCAATGACTCCAAGATCTCTTTCTTGAGTGGTAAAAGCTAATATAGATCCCATCATTTTGTAGGTATAGTTGAGATTGTTTCCCAGTGTACATTAGTTTTCATTTATCAACATTGAATTTCAATTGCCATTTTGTTGCCCAGTCACTCACTTTTGTGAGATCCCTTTGTAACTCTTTGTAATCTGCTTTGGACTTCACTATCTTGAGTAGTTTTGTATCATCTGCAAATTTTGCCATGTCACTGCTTACCTCTTTTTCCAGCTCATTCATGAATATGTTGAATGGCATTTGTCCCAGTACAGACCCCTGTGGGACACCACTATTTACCTCTCTCCATTCTGAAAACTGAGCATTTATTCCTACCCTTTGTTTCCTGTCTTTTAACTAGCTACTGATCTATGACATCCCTGTTATTGCATGACTGCTTACTTTGCTTAAGAGCCTTTGATGAGAGACCTTGTCAAAGGCTTTCTGAAAGTCTAAGTTCATATATCCACTGGATCACCCATCTCCACATTTGTTGACCCCCTCAGAGATTTTAATAGATTGGTGAGGTATGACTTCCCTTTACAAAAGCCATGTTGTCTCTTCCTTGACAAATGGTATTCATCTATCTGTCTGATAATTCTCTTCTTGACTATAGTTTCAACCACTTTGCCTGGGTACTGAAGTCAGGTTTAATGGCTTGTAATTGCCGGAATTGCCTCTGGAGCCTTTTTAAAAATTGGAGTCACAGTAGCTATCCTCAAGTCATC